GATCCTAATTACATGAAACGACCGTCAAGCATTTCGGCGAAAACGTTATTTGGGGTGAATTTTGGGGTTGCTTTTCTGGTTATGGCATGGGACCTACAAAGGCTTATACAAGGTAACATGGACCTGTATCAATACAAAGAGATACTCGAGGAATGTATGTTACCATATGCAGATGACAATCTCCCGGTAATTTGGAGATTCTACGATTCCACCAGCACGATAATGACCCGAAGCCCTCTCTCTGTATAAAGATTCCTCGACAGTCAACTGATAACTGTATTGGAGTGGATCTTCGGAAGATCTTTGGTATCAAGTTAAAAAGAAACTATGAAACAGACAGTGTGGTAACATTAATGAGCTGTACAACTCGTTTTTGGAAGATTGGAAAACTATTTCAGTTGAAACCTGCCAAAAGCTGTAATATATAATTATATGACCACAACTGTATTTCGACTTCGGGAGTGGAATACTCCTCTCATAGTTTTTTTTCAAACCTGATTTTCTCCGTAGTGACGAATTTTTTTTTGTACACCTGTCGTTACAGAATTACCTTCTGATTTTCCAGATATTAGATTAGAGTTTTTTTTTAATGTTTTTTAATTTTCGCAATTCAGCAACCCATATGCTTCGCTTTATACATAACATACAGTTGAGGGAATCTCTTTTAACATTAGCTAGGCTCGTGTAGCAAGAATCTTTTCCTGATTAGTACGAATCATTACTTAAGAATGGATGTGCAAAGAACGTACAGGCGCATCTGGCTAAATGAATTTATTTTATACTCGTAAGTTAATTGAAGTGGGTCGTCTTGAATATGTAGCAATAAAACGCATCCTATTCTCATTTCTAGAAAGCATTTTTTTTTATTTATTTCTGGCAGCTGACTCCGGCTCTCCGAGACGCGATTTTATAATGTTAGCGAGTTTTGTAAGTGCGAAACGCAGTGCAGTTTTCTTTATTTTTTTATTTCATGGTCGCTACTTGTAGAGACTTCTTTAAGTTGATTATTAAAATATACAACAAAATAATGTGTGTGAAAAAGTCCTATATTATTTTCTGACTATTATAAACATAATGTCATTTTTTATAAACTATGCGGGAGGTACTCACAAAACCTGCAGTTTTATTGCGTTTAGTGTACATAGATAGCTTTTTTTGACAAGACTTTCAGCTTCATCTATTATTATCTTATTCTTTAATTCGACTTGTAGCGACGACATCTACACGCACCACATATTACCAATATCGAGGAAGTAATAACTCGTCTCGTCAAGAGATGGCACTACCGGCGCTGCCATCATAAAAGCCTACATCGCAGCAAGATAAATGCGGAGGCTAACTCTGCATACACGCAATGCCCGACAAACATCAGACGGGCCACGTCCTCAGAGCTAACATCACACAGCTCGGTGGAAGATCTTTCCCTTTGACCTTACTACACTAGTGACCCCGACGTGATGATGTAGCGGCTACATCTACACACCCCAACCCACATATAACCAATACGGAGGAAGTAATAACTAGCCTCGTCAAGAGATAGCGCTACCGGCGCTGAACTCATGAAATATGGAAATCAACATCGCGCAAGGGAATTTCGGAGGCTAACTCTTCATATATGCAATGCCCGGCCAACATCAGTCGGGGCCGCGGCCTCCGAGCTAACATCACCCAGTTTTTTGGAAGATCTTCCCCTTTTCCCTACCTACAGACTATTACTTTCTCGAATGCTTCAGGTATTGATATTTACCCTTAGGCAGCAACAGCAAAAGATTTACTTTACAATTAACACCATTTCAATTTCCTGATCAGCAAGATTAGCAGTATACGTATCAATTTCTAAAATGTACTACCATCTTGCATTCTAAAGAAAATTACTTAGTATAAAATAAGCAAAAGCTCAAAACGAATACGTACATAAATTCATATGAATGCACTTGAAAATGTATCGGAACCAGTATAGCAAATATTTGCCTTTTTTACTAGACCATATCGATATTCCGGACATATACACGTATGTGTATGTTTCGTTTTTAAAAAAATCATAACCAAGACTGAGTAATACCCTTTCTCAGCCTCGGACTTTTGATTAAATGGACTTCGACTTTTTAATATATGTATATTAATTTGACTTTTCCGAGTAACAATATTTACGGCAAGACTAAGTACAATTTTCATGTAAAAATATGACATTAGAGTATACAAATGTGAAAGTATTAGGTTTTGACGGTTCACTTTGTTGTTCTCACAGCAGAACATCAGGGAGTCTATGATATGAATTAAGATCGGTATTAATAGATCGCTTTCAACTCCGAGACTACGATCTTGAGATACTATTTTCATAAAAAATAGCATCTCAAAATCGCTCTCAGAGTTGAGAGTGATAATGATACGACGATATGATAGTGATACGATAATTTAATAAAAATGGGCTTGAAAATCTAAAAGTTATATTTATATGAAGTTCATCAATGCAGTTACGTGGCAGATACGGGGGTTTATTTCTTCGTGATGATTGATTGCGCGCTGGTCTACAATTCCCTTCCTATCATATACGTACATTTCATCAAATTCACGAAATCGATTTTACTGTAACATATAATAAATACAAGATTAAAAATCAATTGACTCAGATGCTATTCATAAATGCCGATCTACTTAACAAAAAATATGTCATCTTTCTTTTTTGCAGAAACAAAAAGCTTCAAAATACCTAGGAGACAATAGTCTCCTATAATTATGTCCTTATTTATTCCGATGGCTAAGATTTATTCATTCTCTAAATACATTTATACAAATATCAAATTCAACAAGATTATTAATCAATTGACTCAAATACTATTTATAAATGCCGACCTACTTAACAGAAAATATGTAATCTTTCTTTTTTGCAGAAACAAAAAAGGTTCAAAATAGTTAAGATAATATTTAGTTACTTATTCATTTTGATGACTAGGCTTTATTCATTCTCCTAAATATTTATTGACCTTAATTACTAAAGATTTAAATCAAAAACCTGGTAAAGAAAGCGTATTTCGTCAAATATTTCACCGCCATGGGTATTTGAATATACGGGGATTAAAATAATTAAGATTTACATTTCGTTTCGACGCTGCGTCAGTAAGAATTGGACCTTAGTTAGAAAACCGAATAAATAAATGTATTTATCGATCTTGCTCTCTTTTCCCTTCCACTTGTTCTAGAAGTCTTTGCAAACGTCTCCTCTTTCTTTTATATATTTTTTTAGTTTAACAATATACGCGCAGAAACACAAAGCACAGATCCGTTGTTGGTCACGGGCGTACTGAGCTTATAAAATGGCTGTCGAATGAGCAGTGATGACGCGCAAATATACATTGATTAAAAAATAAGCCTAATACTAAATATACCGAACTAAAAAAATATTAGACATTAATATTTATTGAAAAGCTATCTAACAAAGTAAGTTTATGGTTTATAGTCTTATTAGCTTTTGAGATATTTCATTCTAAAGTAAAAAAAACTATAATTTTAAGAGACAATTTTCAATAAAAGTGTTTTCGGCCTAGTAAAAATATAGCTTGGTAACTGAAGATAGACATATAAAAATGATGATTTAACTACCCACAGTGCCTTAACGCCCATAATACATACAAATATACCAAACTAACAAATTATGCTTCTGCATTCAAACGTAAGTAGTTCACTACTTCGATGTTGAAATACTTTTCGTATGAGCTTGACTATTAAAGTAGTCTGTTTTTGCTTTGAGTACTGCTTGAGATGAGCTTTATTTATCAAATCAATATTTTTTTATAGTTCTTCTGCTGTCTGCAATTTATGTCATTGTATGTTATTCTGTATTAATTAGTTTTTGCTATAAAATTGTATTTTGGAATAATTTAAGTGAAATTTATAATTTAAGTAAAGTTTACGAATGAATACTGTAATTTTAGGTAATTGATTATTTCTTTGAATGTTTTGTGTAAAACCCGTCTTTTAAAATCATTACGTCATGTCTGAAAAGGCAATTGAACTAAAACTCCTCAAACGCACTCCAAAATTCTCGAATTCGACCTTTTTCTTTCACCTTGACATTTGGAAAAGGAGCTTTACAGGTTTTGTTACTGCTTACATTTCTTAATTAATTTAGAGAAGGTATTCCAGTTTCAGACAATTTACTCTTAAAGTGCAAATTTTAGCTACTAGTTTAATATTATTAGTTTTTATGTTATCAGATATTTTGTCCTGTGTTTGCTATTGTAAAAAGTTACTAAAACTATTACTGAAGGAATCAAATATGGTAAGGTATCGGGAACAATACAAAATATAGTCTGTATAAGATCTTTCAGGTGTTTTTGACTTGTTGTTGAATGGACTTAGTACGGTCCCAGTATGTTTCCAATCTGCCTTTGCCATATTAGCACCATGATGATGGACCATTGATAACATAATTTCGATTAAAACATATAATTTTCTGACCGGCTTATCAACTCTTTTGTCCCTCATAATGAGTGCATTTTCTGTGCTCTTATTTTATCAATCTGCGTATATTTGTTCTTTTTGTAACTATTTGGAATGGAATGCAATAACCATTCTATTCCATTTTGAAATTCACTATTTTCTTTATGTTTTTTGTATTCAGGTTGAAACATACACACAGATTGATGATTATTATTATATTTACATAGCACCAAAAATCAGTTTTAAGTGATCGTCAGGATCACTTTAAACTGATTTTTGTATTTAAACAAAATTTTTACACAATTGTTTTCTACGAAGACTTGATAAATCTTTATTTTTTTATATATTACTAGCTGTCCTAGCGGGGTTGGTTGTAGAAGGGTGAAAATTTAGGGTTGTATTTTTTATGACGTATCATAAAAAAATAGAAACAAAAAAAAAAATCCAAAAAAGTGTAATCTTTAAAGTTTGACTCACTATGACTTATTTCTGAAATGAACACGGCTGAAACTGCAGGGGACCTTTAGTTGTGACATAAGTGTAATAGTCAGACATATGATATCGGGACTTTTTTGTAGACATTGATATCCTCTTTAAAACTTTAGTACATCACTTTGCTCCATTGTCAATGGACTTCCGCAGTGTATGCGATATATTGTTATTTTTTGGTATTTTTTTCACACCATAGAATTTTTTATACGGAACCCTAACTTTTTGAAAATACTCTATAGCCTATGTTCATCAGGGATAATGTAGGATTCTAAATTTGTAAATAAAAACAAATCGGTCCAGTAGTTTCGGAACCTATTCAATACAAAGAAACAATAAAATCTTTCCTCTTTAAAATTTTAGTATAAATTAAGGGAAATGATCAGAAATTAAGAAGTTTGTTACCAGCAATTCGTAACGTATATAAGGTCAGAAATCAAGTTGACTAATAGTACTAATTATAATAAGTTACATAGATTGCTTATTAGTTATGTAGCTACTTAGATTAAACCAATGCTATGTTCATAATTTCTCAGAAAATACCTTGTTTTTAGTATTCAGTTGTTTACTCTGTTCTGGAATTTATCGTCACCATGACTCGCCATCTCGGAAAAACAATGCGAGTCAGTTGAAGAGTATTCGTTGCAATTGCACCTAGTTAGGCCCGACAAACCTTTTTTAATGTATTCTACAACTGTATTTAAGTTCTGGAAAATGATTGATCCAATTTTATTCTTTGTTATAATTTTAGTGGTGCCCAAGGCAAAGGTAATAAAGAAACCGAAAAAATACCGTGCGGTAGAATCTTTTTACACCTCACCCACAACTAGAGTTTATTAAAATTTGTATTCAATGGTATGTATTTCCACAATGTACATAAATTAACCAGCTGTACACCCACGTTTCAGGGTGCTGTTCCAGGGACATTCTTTTGGAAACCACGATTGGGCCTCGACTTGGCTATCCCCACAACCGGTAAGATGATAAAAAAATAAAAGAAAAAGATGCGAATATTTTGAGTATTAAACATAGGTACTATAGTTCTCGAAAGTAAGGAGTAGTATGCAATCCCTATTTAATAAATAATGAATGCAGGACCCCTTAAATTAATTATTTAGTCTTAAAGTAAGGAGAACTTGTGAGAACTGTGTGTAGTTACACAAATGGGAGTCAAGCGTAGTAAAAACGAAGTTGGTGTTTGTACAGTTAACAACGTAGGGAGCATTTTAGATGTTGTTAGTCAAACATGATGCCTATATTATACGTAAATGTTAGCGCGTCTTATGCTTACATGTTGTAATAGCGTCATCCTTGCACAAACGTTTAAAATTTAACTTTAATTTATCTCTATGGTATCATTAAAAAATGTCATATTACAAACGACAAAAATATATAAATATATCAGAATATAAAATAATAAATAATTGAACATAAAAGTGCTATCTTGTTAAAGTGGAACTAATTAAATCACTACTATTTTGGAATATTTAAAGAACTCAAACGTTTTATCACTATAAAATGTTTAATTAATAACAGGTATTGCCTCCTGAAGCATCTTCAAAAGCCCTGATGCGATTAGGCATAGAATATATCAGTCTGAGTATGAAGTTCTGTGGTATCATCTCCCATTCCTCTTCTATGGCAGTTTTCAGCTCCGACATCATTTGTGGAGCTGGCTGGCGAGCCCGAACACGCCTCTTTAACTCGTCCCATAACTGGTCAATTCATTACCGTGATGAGCATGTCTCGAAGATAGGTACTGCCGAACGATTCCAGCTATATGCAGTCTCGCATTATCGTGCATTAAAATGAAGTTTGGGCAAACACATACTGCGAAAGGCATTATATGAGGGACTAACAAATGATGGAAGTCGTGGTCATGATGGAAGTCGTGGTGCACTAACCAACACAAGTTCCATTTTCGCATTTGCGGAAATTCCTCCCCAGACTGTCCATGACCCGCCACCAAAAGCAACCCTCTCTTGTATGCAGCACTGAGCGAAACGCTCTGCTTGTCTTCAGTACAGTTACAGACATGTGCGTGTGTGAGAGTTGCTAATGTAGTTGAGTCGGATCATATTTGATGCTAGTACCATAAGTACCCTTTTTGTTTTAATCTAATCACTAAAGACGATTTTGACGCTTTGACGAATAACTAGAGACGCGGCGTAAAGCATTCGAATGCCACCTACGGCGTCAAGCGTCAACACACACACACGTAAACGTATGAAAGAGACCACAACAGTGCATTTTTATAGTAATCATCGTGAAGCAGCATACGGCGTGGCGCTGTACGTGGCCTAGGGCGTTTATAGGAGACTAAAGCCTAACTAACAATGACAACATCATCAATGGATACATTTTTTTGTAATTTTCTAACCTTTTTTAGTCGACTATAACAAAAACTTTGTCTCTTTGAATCATAACGTACTAAATGAACTTATTTACATAGAGTATAAACATGATCCAAGCGACTAGTACATTTTTTAAATTGTATTGCATAGAATTGCACAATATACCTAGTCCAGCCATAACTTCTGTTAGAAATGAAAATGCATTTTTTTCAATGAAGTAATGTAATATTATTATAATTTTAACCTACATACACACATCAAAAAAAAGTTTGCGATCACTTTGAAAAAACATTGTTTTTTGTGTTACAGAAGACTTTCTTGTAATTTCTTTTTCTGATAAGATTCTAAATTTTAAAATTAGAATTAGAACGTAAAACAATAAAATAATTCAATTGATTTTCCATATAAAAAGACAAGCAATCCAAGCTGACACTCTTTCAGAAATCTGACTTAGTCAATATTATTGAATTTAAAATATTTTTTCACGGAAAGTTGTGATATAAAAATTGCCACGAGGATTATCAGATGTTTTACGAGCCATAATTGTAACTTTGACGAAACAAGGCTATTCTAGAGAAATGGCACGCAGAGTTGCCATATCCCAATCCTGTGTAGTAACCACGTTGCAGAGGTACCACGGCATGGGTAATTTAGCTGATCGACACTGCAGCGGTAGCCCAACTGTTTTGACAGCTGGTAGTCCGCGACCCAACAATAAACACCACTAAATTAAAAACAGAAATACGGGCCGCCTGCGGACTTGAAGTTAGCACTCAGACCATTCGGAATTGCTTACACAAGGCTGGATTACGAGCACGGAGGTCTTAGCACCTTTGAATTCATGGGAACAGGATGGAAAAGGAGATTACAGTGAGCTAGGCTCCGGCAAAACGAAGAAAACGAAGAGGAAAACATTTGGCAAAACTGCCTCTTCGTTGACGAATCCCGAATCAGTACTCTTCCAGATAACCGACGTTTCCGTGTTTGGAGAAGATCTGGAGACTCTGAAAGGCAAAGAACGGCCACTGGAACGGTCCAGCAAGGCGGGAAATCCTTTTGGGGTGGTATTATGATTGGGGCTAGAACGCCTTCAATCCCTTATCAAAGCTTCATGAATGCAGACAGATACAATACAGTCGCTGTTGATGGAATCGTCAGACCTTTCCGAGTAAACCATGGGCACCAATTTGTACTGGTTGACGATAATGCGCCTGCACATCGAGCTCAATGCTGCTCTCCGAGAATACGCAATCACAAGGTTAGACTAGCCTGCCGGCTCTCCTGATTTAAACCCAATAGAGCACGCGTGTGATGCTCTTAAGCGAGCTGTTTGGAACCGGCAGCCACCACCCCAGACAGAGTAGAGTAGCTCAGGGAAGCTGCTGTTCAAGAATGGGACAGGTTACCACAAGAAATGCTGGATAGCTTGATCCTCAGCATGCCCAGGAGGATCTCCGCATGTATTCGAGCCAGAGGAGGATTTATTATGTATTATATATACAACAATTTATTAATAAAAGGTTTTTTAAGTTTGGGTTAAACTATCTTTTTATTTCTATCAAAGTTCTATTACAATCGCCATAGGATAGAATTATTTAATTTTTTATACTAAAAAATCAAATTATGATTTTATTTATTTTTTAAGCATTTAACTGCTAGATGTTTAAATCTAAAGAAAAGTTTACTAGAAAAAAAAATCCACGCGGACCAGGCAGCGGACGGGACTCGAACCCGCATCCTTCGCTATCCGGGCGAATGCACTGACCATTATGCTACCACGGCCCTATTAGCCGCGTCGAAATTTTCCTAGCCTTAAGCTGCAAGGCAGCGCCATCTCTTCGCATTGTAGGTAACATACAATATCAAATGAATACTTTTTCAAGTATTAAACATTTGAAAGAAGAAATAGCAATTATAGTTACGATTTTATTTATTTTTTAAGCATTTAACTGCTTGATGTTTAAACCTAAAGAAAAGTTTACTAGAAAAAAAATCCACGCGGACCAGGCAGCGGACGGGACTCGAACCCGCATCCTTCGCTATCCGGGCGAATGCACTGACCATTATGCTACCACGGCCCTATTAGCCGCGTTGAAATTTTCCTAGCCTTAAGCTGCAAGGCAGCGCCATCTCTTCCCATTGTAGGTAACCCACAATGTCAAATGAATACCTTTTCAAGTATTAAACATTTGAAAGAAGAAATAGCAATTATAGTTACGATTTTATTTATTTTTTAAGCATTTAACTGCTAGATGTTTAAATCTAAAGAAAAGTTTACTAGAAAAAAAAATCCACGCGGACCAGGCAGCGGACGGGACTCGAACCCGCATCCTTCGCTATCCGGGCGAATGCACTGACCATTATACTACCACGGCCCTATTAGCCGCGTCGAAATTTTCCTTGCCTTAAGCTGCAAGGCAGCGCCATCTCTTCGCATTGTAGGTAACCCACAATGTCAAATGAATACTTTTTCAAGTATTAAACATTTGAAAGAAGACATAGCAATTATAGTTATAATTTTATTTATTTTTTAAGCATTTAACTGCTAGATGTTTAAATCTAAAGAAAAATTTTCTAGAAAAAAAAAATCCACGCGGCCCAGGCAGCGGACGGGACTCGAACCCGCATCCTTCGCTATCCGGGCGAATGCACTGACCATTATGTTACCACGGCCCTATTAGCCGAGTCGAAATTTTCCTAGCCTTAAGCTGCAAGGCAGCGCCATCTCTTCGCATTGTAGGTAACCCACAATGTCAAATGAATACCTTTTCAAGTATTAAACATTTGAAAGAAGAAATAGCAATTATAGTTACGATGTAGTTTTGTGACTTCTTGATAAGAAACGCCTCACCAAACCTGCAGGGTGATGACCACGTTGTACCTTTGCCGATCACTTGAGCAGCTTCTTTAGAACTGTGAGCGTACACTTTATCATTTTGCTTTTTGTAGTTTTTTTTTTTATAGTGAGGTAGGCAAATGACTCTACCCCACCTGATGTTGTGTACTTTTATGAATAATAGTGAATTTTTTTTCATTGGTAAAGGGTTTTTTTTTTTGTGCTTGCACCTGCGTATCTCGACAGAAGGCGTTTCGGTCGATCCACTCTGTTTAATTGTAAAGATTGATTTAGAAGATAAGCACCGAGCTTCAGGTCTAGTTTTATAATACGCGACAGAATCCTAGCGGGAATCTTCATTTCTCGCGATAAGAGTTTTGCTTCCTAATGGGTTTTCAACGAATTCTAGCATTAACAGCCTTTGTAGTTCTAACAGCACGCGGCCGCCCCGATCTTTTCTGGTCTTCGACAGAAAAATTGATATTGTATCTGTTGATAGTACGATATACGAACATACGGCTGATACCAATGACCGACGGCTCCATACCCACTTTGTGCAAGGCGATCACTGCAATCCTATGTTCTCTAACACCTCATTCCATATTGTAATTTAATAATGAACATGAAAAAATATGTCTAATGGCGCAAAATGGAAAGAAGTTTTTAAAATAATATTTGTGTTCCAAATTCAAAATAATGAAAAAGTTGCAAAAAAGAAAAGTTTTTATGTAACAGTATTTATGGCCAGTTATTAAATTTCGGACGAAACGGGTGTGGACTGTAAAACCTACTTATTGTGATGCCAAAATAAACAAATAATGAAATATAAACTTCAAGCTTCAAGAGTTGACTAGACAACAACACAATGCAATGTAAGTAAAACTAACAGTCACTAGAAATTTTGAATATGGCATTACGTCCGAAAAGTACGGACTTTACGAAACCGTTCATCCTACCGTGGTCTAGTGGAGACATCCCAATCAGTAAAAACGGAACGCTTCGTCTGACTTTAACAGTCGATTTGCTCGAATAGTTGAAATTTGATACATGCATGTATGTCTGTGACCCAAACACGGACATATAAAGTGTATAATTAAATTTCGAAAATGGGCATTACTTTTGGGAGTGAATAAAAAATTTTGTTATCTGTACCGTGTTATATATTAAATGAAAAGTCTACCACTAATTATCCCGTCTTTTCCTGGATACTGCTTCAAAATTCGACCTTCTCTCCTGTGGCAGTGTCTTGTCAACTATTAATCAATAACCACATCACCTTTTTTCGGTCCCTCGCCATAGTTTCCTTAGCTCTGGTCTCGTGGCTGCATAGCGGATAGTACCTTGCGTACCAATCGTATCCAAAAATGGTCCGCTAACCGTAAAGCCTTATTCCAATTTGTACTTCTTACTAAATCGATATCGTCAAGTGCTTGAGGAAGAATTTTATTGGCCGACGCGCCGATAAGGAAGTGGAAAGGAGTGAGTGCCGTTGGTTGGGTCGTCGGGATCAGTAAAGACGTTACTCAAAGAGTGCTAAATTTTTTTTTTATGTTTGTTAGCAGACGGCTCACCTGATGGTAAGTGATCACCGTCGCCCATGGACACTTGCAACACCAGGAATATCACAAATGCGATGCCGGCCTTTAAGGAAGAAGTACGCAAAATAAAAATAAAATACTGTGGCTCCGGCTTCCATAAGTAAGGTTATTAGTGTCTCTTCTTTTTTTTTAAGGTTGCATTTAAGGCCACTTTAACGCTTCGTACCTCTTCATATAAAATTAGGACTGATAACATATTCCGTAAAAGCGTGTGTGTTTTACTGTGCATATTGTTCAAACTTTTCCAAAATGGACAACTGAGAAAACTATAAATAGTAGGAATTATTTTATGGTCCTTGGATTAGATACTTAATAAATGATCCAACCTTTACAAACTGCATGACAGATGTTAAAAAATGTGCGTGGTATGAGTTCGATTGGGTGAGATTAAAAATGTTTCGGAAAAGTAACCTGACTACTCTCAAAACATTGTGCAGCTGATGCTGAACTTCCAGCGACTTGGAATATATGAGCATTAAGGTATATTTTCTCTTTGATAACAACACTACTTTACAAAAAAGAAATCTTTTTCCTCAAGACAATTAATACTAAATTTGGTTTCTACCTCTAAAATATAAGACACATATTTTTGTAATGAGAGGGTCATTACAAAAATATGTGTCTTATATTTTTATCACGTCAAGTTTTTTTAATACATCCTCATTAAGTTATTTCGCTAAATTGTTACTGCAGTACCATGGTGCTTAGTTAATATAATCGCTTTTGTTGTATTAAACATTTAAAAAAGAAAGTAATTTATCCAGTGTCGAAAAAGATACTTGGTATTCATTTAAAGCAGTAGTAAAAAAACTTGGGCAGCAATAAATCAGAAGATTATGAAGAAATTGTTTCCAATTTGTTGAAGAATTACCATAAGATGAGGGTAAATGAATATGTCATTAAAAATTCATTTTTTACTTTCGCACCTGGATTATTTTTCTGAGAACCTGGGAAGCGTAAGCGATGAACATGGTGAACGTTTTCACCAAGATTTGAAGATTCTTTATAAAAAGAGGTACCAAGGTTTTTGGGATATAAATATGTTAGGTGATTACTGCTGGTCTATATTAAGAGAAACTGATGCTAATCAGTATAAAAGAATTAATCTGTCATTTTTGACTTTTTTGTAGGTCACACATAAAAAATTGTAAAAAAACAAATATTGAAAAAACTTGACGTTCTAATCTTTTCCCACTTCAGTATCTAACCTAGGGTTTATTACTCTACTGATTCACATTAATTTCATATATGGGTAAAAACCCTTGTAAAGTAGTGTAATTAACACCATTTTCCGAAAGATTTTGGGGACTTAACTTGCTAGAATATTCAGAATAATAGTTTAGACTTAGATTATTCAAGAAAATCTTATAAAATGTTTCTTTATATTTTGTTGCACGTATTTTTTGTGAAATCTGCTACCGTCGATATCAGAAAAAGTAGAGCTGCTATTGGAAAACGGACTCTGAATAATTAATCAGCTCCGCAATATGAGCTAGAAGCAGCTATTAAACTTCATAAAACAAAAAAGCTGTATGCCAATAAATTAGTAGAATCCGTAATGTTTTGAACTGGCAAGGCCGGTTTCTTTATAGGTAAAAGGGCCTGGTAAATTGCTCTCAAATGTCCGCCCTCCTCAGAATTTATTTAAAGGTACTAAAAATTCAACACCTATCCCCTTGTGCTTCATTGACTACAGCAAAGCCATCGGTTACGTCATTTCGACGGCCATGTGGAAGATATTGAAAGAACTTCGAGTACCTAAACATCTAGTTGCACTGTTCAATTACTGTACCAGAATAATGAGGGTTGTAAGGGTTGAAAGAACAACATCGGTCTTTCCGGTTTGGGAAAGGCGTGAGGCATGCATTCTGTACCTCATTTTGCTTAACATATGTGGAAAATCTTTACCATCAGCCGAGCGCTTGAGAATTGGGAGGGCGGTATCTCCATAGATAGATCCCAAATCTCCGATATCAGATGATCCATTACTTTTGATAGCAAATGATGCTGAAATGGACAGAATGAAAGGGATTAGTATGGAACTGCTACTCAAAATTAACCATTCTGATAACAAATATATGGTGATGAACCGCTACAATAAACTTCAATGGATTGGTGCTCTTTCCCTCGATATAGTGGACGAATTTATTTATTTGAACCTGTTGTGTTTTAAACATTGAAATTAAAATATAAGGTTTAAGCACGGACCTGAAAAAAAGTTTAAGTAGATATTTTATATACCACCAAAAAAATTTAATTTTCAGTAATAAATCCAATTCAGCACCGTGTAGTAAATTCTTGCGCCACTGAGCCAAGCCAGCAATACCAAGCAGAGAAATGCTAGCCGTAGGGCAATACAATAAGATACCGCACTCATGAATAAAAATTGTAAATAGTCTGAACAATTTAGATGCACGCACACTGCATAGATAACACTTTTCCATTTATTACAATACCTAAATAAAAGAAGATTATAAAATATAACGACTGTTAACTTAAATATTTTAATTCCTACAATACGAATATTATATCTTAATCAAACCTAATTAGGATGGACTTTGCTGGACTGACAATAAAATTATTTTTGAAAGATTTGCGGATTTTACGGAATGTCATTCCAACTAAAACCACCATAAATGAACATTTTAAAATAAGCAGTGGCCAAAATAAAAATACATCAATTCTTTTTTTTTTTATTTCTGTATATTTTGGCCACTTCGCTATATGCATTTCAGCATTTTTTAAAATAATGTTTGTTTAATAAAAAAACTATAAAAAATCTGTTTAATAAAAAAACACAATTTACTATCGTCCATTGAAATACTTTTTTTATATATATCTGTCCTTCTTCTTGTCGTTCCTGTTTTGAATATTTTTTTATAATCAATATTGTTTGTGGAAATTTAAAGATCATAATTATACATTAAAAGGAAAATTATTTTGACAGAAATCAAGAAAAACATTAGTTAATTTACTTAAAATAACTGTAAATCACGTTAACAAAACTCCGTAAATAATGACAACTGTTTTATAGGTTACTAATTTGCCTCATTTATTATTTTCTCATGTTTAGAAGCCACCGCTAATGTTAATCTGCCCACTGTGGAAAATATAGAAGAAGGTCTCGTAATTTTGGTGGACGGATACGAGACGGGTCTTACCGTCATATCCCTTGTGGCCGGCATATCAAGCGCTGGCACGTACCCACAGTTAAATCCCGCTTCTGGATATTTCTACACAAACCTATATAGATGGGCATTAAGATATTTCAGTCTGTAAGTAGCATTTTGCCATTCTTCACCATTAAACAAACTTTTATAGACTTAAGTCTGGCAGCTTTTGAACTAATGCATCAATACTGTTAGTTTTGGGCGGGCACCTCGCATCGCTATTCGTATTTGCTATTAAACTGCATAAAACTGTAAACTTGACAATAATCTCTTTTTTTCATCCCCTATAGACCAAAGACTTTATAACTTTATATAAAGTCTTTGCTATAGACTAATAAGGACAGCCTGCTGTCAAAATGACAAAAAGCAAATATCAATAGTCATATGAAGTGTTAGCATTAGAAAATCATAAAGACTTACTTGAGTGGTGGTAATCGGAGCATAAAACTATTATTACAATATATATAATTCAAGAAAATCAAATACACACATCAAAAAAAGTTTCCGATCACTTTGAAAATAGATTGTTTTTTGTGTAACAGAAGACTTTTGTAATTTCTTTTTCTGATAAGCTTCTAATTTTTAAAATTAGAACGTAAAACAATAAAATAATAGGGAAGATGCAATATTTTTATTTTTGTTTTCATTTTAAAGAATTCCATGTAGAATAAACCACAGATATATTAAAAAATTAAAACATTGTGATTTATCGGAAAAAATGCAGTTTTAAATTGACAATTTAAATTTTCGCGCGAAAACGAACCTTTGGTTGCGATGACGTCACTCCTGTCAGTCACTGGTCGTAATTGTTCGTTGCTGGCTTTAAAATTTCATACTTTTGCATATTTTTTCGACTTTCGAAATATTTTTTTGAAAAATTTAAAATCTACTATCCATCAACATCATGTGATCATAACAATACCACTAATATTCCGAAAAAAAGCCGTGTTGACTCATGTTTTGTGCCAATCTACTTCAACAAAGTTCCCAAATAAATTGTTTTTGACTGGAACTGACCCAAAACTGAAATAAAAGTGGTTTCAAGCTGCGAAGAGAAATGACAATTATTCTCCAAAGACCATTATTCGATGCTGAGAAGATCACTTTGACGTATGTCGGCGAATATACTTGTTATATGCTTAATTAATGTGCTTGTACGTAAAAACGCATTAGTAACCTACCTAATACTTACAAAACCTGTCTATAACATATTTTTAATTTTACAGTTGGAGAATGACGTCGAAAATTAGATAAAGTTTAAAATGTGTAGCACAATCTTCACATTGGCAGGACTGCACCAAGCTTTGCGTTTCATTTAAAATAACTGTAACACGATAACCTTCTTTACGTACTTTATGCTCCGGAGAACTCGACCTTTTACTGTACATAATTTTCCATCTCTTTTAATTTGGACATAGCCGATTGCATTATCGCCGTAAGATTTGTAGAAGCCGCTGAATAAAATACGAAGTTTAACAACTACAATTTTTACATACCGTAGTAATTTAGTCCCTTTCATTTCTACACTTAAAAACTCTGCACTTTGGACAAAAAAAGTTATAACCATGTCAACGCTAACTCTTGGTAAATTCCTGGAGTCTGCTTTGATAAACGCAACTTCCATTTTTATTAAATGTAAAAAAACGCAATAAATTTTCCCATAAAATAATATTAACTTTAACAACCATAACCTTAAAGAAGTTGGCATAACAGGAGTGACGTCACTAAACGCTGATTGGTGTTTTAATATACGTTCCGTTTCAAGTATTTTTAATTCGTAATAATTGTTAAAAAACAACATTATGTAAAATAAAAACGTTGCAGTGGCATTTCTTTTATATTTTTTTAACATTTTAATCATAAAATTTTCATAAATATTATATATGCATCTTCCCTATTCAATAGTTTTTCCATATCCAAGCTGACACTCATTCAGAAACCTGACTTAGTCAATATTATCGAATTTAAAATATTTTTTCACGGAATGTTGGGATTTAAAAAATGCCACTAGGATTATCACATATTTTACGAGCCAGAATTGTAACTTTGACGGAAGATGGCTATTCTACGAGAGAAATAGCACGTAGAGCTGCCATATCCCAATTCTGTGTAGTACACGTTACAGAGGTACCACGGCATGGGTAATTTACCTAATCGACCCCGCAGCGGTCGCCCAACTGTTTTGATAACTGCTCAGAAGCGCTACATCAGGTTGCTGGTAGCCCGCGACCCAAAAATAAACGCCACTGAATTAAAAGCAGAAATACTACTAAAAGCCTCCGGACTTGAAGTTAGCACTCAGACCGTTTGGAATTGCTTACACAATGCTGGATTACGAGCATGGAGGTCTTGGCGAGCACCTTTGAATTCATGGGAACAGGATGGAAACAGGGAGATTACAGTGGGCTAGGCTCCGGCAAAACGAAGAAGACGAAGAGGAAAACATTTGGCAAAACTGCCTCTTCGTTGACGAATCGCGAATCAGTACTCATCCAGATAACCGACGTGTCCGTGTTTGGAGAAGACCTGGAGACTTTGAAAGGCAACTGAACGGCCACTGGAACGGTTCAGCAAGGCAGGAAATCAGTGTCCTTTTGGGGTGGTATTATGATTGGGGCTAAAACGCCTTTAATCCCTTATCAAGGCTTCATGACGGCAGACAGATACAAAACAGTCGTTATTGAAGGAATCGTCAGACCTTTCCGAGTAAACCATTGGCACCAATTTGTACTGGTTGACGATAAAGCGCCCGCACATCGAGCTCAACGAGTCAATGCTGCTATCCGAGAATACGCAATCACAAGGTTAGACTGAGCTGCCGGCTCTCCTGATTTAAACCCAATAGAGCACGCGTGTGATGCTCTTAAGCGAGCTGTTTGAAACCGGCAGGCACTACCCCAGACAGTGCCGCAACTCAGGGAAGCTGCTGTTCAAGAATGGGACAGGTTACCACAAGAAATGCTGGATAATTTGATCCTCAGCATGCCCAGGAGGATCTCCGCATGTGTTCGAGCCAGATATTTTGTATTAGATAAACAACAATTTATTAATAAAAGGTTTTTAAGTTTGATTAAACTATCTTTTTATTTCTATCAAAGTTCTATTACAATCGCCTTAGGATTGAATTATATTTTTTTTATACTAAATAATAAATTAATTTTATTTTTTGATTTCATAAAGTGTATTTTTAAATAAAAAAAAATATAACAAACATTTTCTCTTGATTAAGTTAAATTTTGAAAATACCTTTATCAGCTTATGCAAGTGATCTCAAACTTTTTTTGATGTATGTATGTACATGTAAACAAAAGTTTAAAAAATACCTTTTAATTGAGACAAATATGTTAGGATTTTTTAAATAAATGATATATTATTTATTATTACAAGAGATCTGAGTTGCGTTAGAACTGAGTTCTAATACGTTAGAACTCGACCTACGGGTCGACCATAGCTACTATAAACTAGACTAATATCGAACCTATATGTATATGTTTTTGTTCTTTACTGTTTTTAGTATACCATTCTGGATGGGAGGTCATGCAGGCAACTTCGTTGAAACGCACAGGGTGTGGAAAAGAAGATTTTATTACATGGATGAGTTCATGCCAAAATGGATGCAAAAGCTATTCTTTTACGTTAAGAAAGAAGATTGGGAAAAAGAAGAATGGGAGTTTAAGAGATTTAAAAAATACTCTGAAGCTGCATTTGGCAAACATTACCGCTATCCATCGAAAGTATTTAACAATTTTAAAAGTCAAGAGACGACCGAAACTGTCGAAGATTTAGACTCCGAAAACTCGATTGGAAAAAAATAAATGACATGAAATGATTATCAAGCAGATATAAATAAAGGACATACATCAACAATGATATTTACATTAAAGCAATGTTATAATAATATATAACTAGTGAATGTTTTATTTGTCATCATCATCATCATCAACAGCCCATCATCGTCCACTGCTGGACATAGGCCTCTCCAAATGCACGCCGCTCAGATCGATCTTGGGCTACTCGCATCCAGCTCCTGCCAGCCACCTTGCGCAAATCGTCACTCCATCGTGCTTGAGGACGTCCTACACTACGTTTGCTTAGACGCGGTCTCCACTCCAGAACTCGTCTACCCCAACGGTTATCGGTTCTTCGGCAAATATGGCCAGCCCACTGCCACTTCAACTTGATAATCCGGTGGGCTATGTCGATAACTCTGGTTCTCAGTCGGATTACCTCATTTCTGATGCGATCCTTCAGAGAAACGCCGAGCATAGCCCTTTCCATAGCGCGCTGAGCGACTTTGAACCTGTGGACCAGCCGTACCGTCAGTGTCCACGTCTCGGCTCCGTATGTCATCACAGGTAGGACGCACTGATTGAAGACTTTCGTCTTTAGGCACTGTGGGCTCGACGATGTCAGGACTTGACGTAGCTTCCCAAACGCTGCCCAACCTAACTGAACTCTTCTATTCACCTCGTCCTCAAAGTTGTTTCTACCTAACTGCAATGTCTGCCCGATGTATGCATATTTTTGAACAACTTCGAGAACGGCACCGTGTATTGCAATCGGTTCCGGTAGAACATGTTCATTGAACATGACCTTGGTTTTATCCAAGTTCATCCGTAGGCCGATGCGTATAGAAGAGTCAGCCAGGTCATTCAGCATCTGTTGTAGGTCCTGCAGGGTTTCTGCCATGATGACGATGTCGTCTGCAAATCGCAAGTGAGAGATGCGTTCGCCATTTATGTTAATGCCATGTCCTTTCCAGTTCATCGTCTTGAACATATCCTCCATTGTATTAGTTAACAATTTCGGGGAAATAACGTCCCCTTGACTCACTCCACGATGCAACGGTATGGGACTTGTTTGCTGATTCTGTACTTGGACAGACATGGTGGCGGCTTCGTAGAGACATCTTATCACTTGGATGTATCGCCAGTCGACTTGGCAACGCTGCAGGGACTCCAGGACAGACCAGATTTCAATCGAGTCAAAGGCCTTCTCATAGTCCACAAATGCTATGCACAGGGGCTGATTGTACTCCTCAGTCTTCTGTATAATCTGCCGCACTGTGTGGATGTGGTCTATGGTGCCGTATCCGCTCCGAAACCCAGCCTGTTCCGGTGGTTGGAAGTCATCAAGTCTTCGCGCAAGACGGTTCGTGATCACTCTTGAGAACAGCTTATAGACGTGGCTTAGAAGGGATATGGGTCGATAGTTCTTAAGTAGGGTCTTGTCCCCTTTTTTAAAGAACAAGACGACCACACTCCTACTCCACGCCTCCGGAGTTCTCCCTTCGAACAGGACAGTGTTAAAAAGCTTTTGGAGCTCCCTCAGTACGGGTTTACCTCCAGCCTTCAGGAGTTCTGTTGTAACACCATCCTCTCCAGGGGCTTTTCCATTTTTAAGCTGTCCAAGAGCAATCTCGATTTCGCCAATACTGACTTCTGGCAGGTCTTCGGTGAAGTGGCGTGTTAATGTGGCTCTAGAATCCTCATTTCCGGGATCGGGTCGAGATGCATGTGATGCGTATAACTGGCTGTAGAAGTCTTTCACTTTCGAAAGGACTGCCGGCTTTGAAGCAACAACTTCTCCACTTGCTGTGGTCAACTTCGTCAGATGGCTTCTTCCAAGAGATTGTACGAACACTTTGGACCCTCGATTCTGCTCGATCGCTCTCTCGATCGAGAGAGTATTGGAGCATCGAAGGTCGTGTCGTACGTGCTTACTGATCTCTTGGTTTAGAATCCGCTTTGCCGACGAAGTGACGGGTGGTTTTTCACGTCGTTTCTTCATTAGCCCTAAAGTCTCTTCCGAAAGCTTTGACTTCCTGCCCTTACGCTGCGTTGCACATAATCTCGTACCCTCTTCCCTGAGGATCCGAACCACATTTTCGAGGTTTTGGTTTACGTCTGATGTGGTTTCCACGGCAGCAAATCGGTTCTCCAGATTTGACTGGAACGTTTCAGATCCTGTTATAGATTGGAGCAAAGTAGTTGGAGCCTAGATCTCATCAAACGGACGCGCTCGGCCTTAAAGTTGATATTAAGAGAGCCCCGGACGAGTGATCACTACCGGTATTGAACCTGTTGATCACGGAGACGTCTCTGAATATGTACCTCTTGTCCGTCATGATGAAATCGATCTCATTTTTAGTCATAGTGTCGGAGCTTTGCCATGTCCACTTCCTTTGGGGCTGTTTCTTGAAAAAAGAGTTCATCAAGAAGAGCCCCTGCTGTTCGAGGAAGTTGACGAGCATTTGCCCCCTATGATTTCTGCTTCCAAATCCATGGGATCCTACTACCGATTCGCTGCAAGTCTGTACTCCCACTTTAGCGTTGAAGTCCCCCATAACAACGTTGTAGTGGGTCTTTGTAGTGGAGTGGAGGGCCCTCGATATATCATCGAACATATCCTCCACTTCGTCGTCCGAGTGTGTCGAGGTCGGTGCGTACACTTGCACCACCTTGAGGCTATACCTCTCGGTGAGCTTTATAATAAGTTACACTACCCTATTCGACACGCTGGACATTTCCACAACGTTATCGGCAAGGGACTTATTTACCAAAAACCCAACGCCACCTTGGGACTGTTGGTCTCCCCCGCGGAAGTACATTAGGTAATCTTTCCAAGTTCCACCTCGAGTTGCGCCAGATGCGAGTCAAGCCGTAGCGTGCGTCCGTTGTACGTCGCCAGGGTCAGTCTTTTGTGGTGGCCTCCCTTAGCCCGGAGATTCTTGGCACCCCCCGCCCCACCGTTACCGTGGTCGCCACCGTGACCAGGAATAGCGGGGCTGCCGGGAACTGGGGGCCGTGGCTTGTGTTTTTTGTGCATAGAAGGTTTTGCCCATAATCGCCACGCTGGGCAGGCGGGTTGGCGATCGCAGAGCGTAGGTTTATTTACTGGTGATGCTGCTGCCCGTCACCAGTGAGATTTTCCTCCCCTACGTCGTTAGATGGTTATACCGCCATCGGTCGATTTGCCAGAGCCTCGTCTGTTGGTCAACAGGGTGCACCACGTGAAGGTGAGGTTGGCTTGGGTTCTTGCAGGTGTATTTAGAACCCCTTACACCCCACGTTTTATTTGTATTGCTGGTAAATACAAACTGCAATGTTTTTGGTTCGCATGTTTTAAAGGCATTGCATTGTGACTGCCTTACTTAACATTGCAAAAATTGCATTTTCCAATAATTGCTCCAAACTAAACCTTTCTTATAAGTCTATTGCCATCTGATTTGACTATAAATCTCTGTCTTTCGAATCTCAATGTTAATCCAGTTAGAAGGTGCTTCTTCAATTACCTATTAATTATTCGTCTATTATAAGAGCTCCGTAAACTTTTTCGTTTTCTACTGTCTGCACTCTTTAGCGCCTCACTCTAAAGTCTTCTCCTAGGGCGGGGGACAATTCTAAAAATCGGCTATTCCTCGGTAACGGTTTTGCGTTTAGAAGGCATCTGCAATTTTGAGCGAAGCTCTCTATCTGGTTTCTTAGTAAAATATGTCTCTCAACGGGTTTAACTAGGTTGGCACTTAGAGTAATGGACGCTGGAAAAGAGTTGACAATATTAGTATTTCTAGTAGAAACTGGTGCAAGTTAACGAAATTTTGATGCAGCTAGATGAGCTCGTGCAGTAGCACTAATAATAAACGCGAATAGTTGCTAAACGGTTCAAAGTTCGCTGTGACCGGATTTGGTAGCGATATTTTCATATTAGTTAGACCCATTCAGTAGGTGTTCGCTTTAGCTCCTCGCGAATTGGTGCGACATTAATGGGCTCTTTTGGCCAGTCCTCCGGGGACTTAAAAAGAAAATTTTCTATTTAATTGACTTTTAAGACTATGTCGTCATATTTTCTACAGTATATCCGTCCTCTGGCAATAACAACCAACTTGACTGTTTACATGACCCATTTTATGTTTAACGGAACACTGGCTCAAGCTTTGTGAAATGTCTTTTTACATAAACAACTTTCAATTATTGAGTGCTTATGTTCCTGGGACAGCTATACACGGCGGCTCATTGATTTTTGTTAACAAATATATTAAATCTGGGTATAGAAATGATATAGCTAGCCTTTCAATTGAACGTAGCATTGAGCTATCTTGTGTGAAACAAAATGAGATGATAATAGTATGCGTATACCGATCCCCTCTAGGAGGTAACTTTAACGATTTTGAATATGTGATTTTAATATAAAAATATTTAAAAAAAAATCAATGTACTACTGGTATCATAGGTACTATAGGTAGGTATTATAGGTACTGTAATCAGTACCTATAATATCACTATTTATATGATTTAATATGATCCATCAATTATTTGAGCCTACTAGGGTGACATCACATTCAGCAACTTGTTTGGATAATGTATTTACAGATAATACTTCTGATAATAAGGCTAAGTTTAATAGCATTACAACTGACTATTATGGCTTAAAAATACAATATAAAATAGATGTAACAAATGAACCCAAAGTGATTGAATTGAGACCAATACCAGAAAAACGGTAAGAAAATTTTCAAAAAAACATTGATGATAGGATTCTCATATCCCATGGACACATGATGATCCTGATAATCTTTTTGGGGATCTTTATAATCTAATACGGAATGAATTCGATAAGGATTTTCCCTTAAAAACTTCGAAACTTACGCAGAAATTACAGTTCTGTGATTGGGCTACGACTGGTATCTATAAAAGGAGAAACAAAATTTATGGAAAATAATTTTACGATCTAAGAAAATATAATCATTCACAAGGTTTTATAAATTACGTTAAATGTTATTCTAAAACTCTATTCTTTGTTAAATCAGTTGATTTAACTGAAACCAAGAATAGCATCAGGAACTTTATTATAAAAATGTATACCTTGACCCATAAAAGATCGGTAAACCTT